ACACATGCATACATGTGCATGCACACACAAATGCAGTTTATTGTAGGCTCTTTGTAACAGAGTCCAAACCACTGTGGTGAAGGAGACAACCATGTAGAAGAGTTGGGCAGAATGGAAAGAAGGAGCACTATCATTTGTTAATTGCTGGCCATGTGCAGCATATTCTGTTTGAGGACTTTACATGTTTTTTTTTTTTTTTTTTTTTTGAGTTGGAGTCTCACTCTGTCGCCCAGACTGGAGTGCAGTGGCCGCTCCCGGCCACTGCAGCCACAACCTGCTGGGCTCTGGCGATCCTTCTGCCTCAGCCTTCCAAGTAGCCGGAATTACAGGCATGCACTACCACGCCCGGCTGATTTTTTGATTTATTGTAGAGATGAGGTCTTGCTGCCCAGGCGGGTCTCGAACCCGCGGGCTCAGGCAATCCACTCACCTCAGCCTCCCAAAGGCGTGGGATTACAGGCTGAACCACTGAGCCCGGCTGACTTTACATGTTTTAGCTCATTTAATCCTCACCACATTACCTGTAAAGTAGGTGCAGTTATTATTCCTGTGTTACTGATGAGGAAGCCAAGGCTGAAAGAAGTGAAGTGAGTTGATCAGATAACATCACTCTCCTGATTCATAAAACTTGAAGATTCCCTCCTTCTCTCCCCGCCACCCAGACTAAAAGTCCTAACTCATCCCAGTCTCGAAGCTGTGTTTTGACCTTTGCCAACCTCCCTAGTTTTATCTAGGCTCCTTCTTTTGCAGTAGGTACTCTAGCCACACTGGTGTTTGTTCAGTTCCTTCAATATGCCTTATTCTTCTTCTCTGGGGCCATTGCTCATGCTGTTCTCTTTGCCTGGGCTCCTCGCCTCTATGTCTACCTCTGCTCACCAGCTAACTCCTACTCATTCCTCAGGACTCAGCTTAGCTGTCAAATCCTCATGTTCTTAGAGAAACTTCTCCTGACTTCCCCCTTGACTCTCCAATGTCCCTTAGACTATGGTAAGTCCCTTTGTTGTATCCTTCCATTGCATTCTGCATCTCCCCCCCAGTACTCAGCATACGGTTTTACATGTAACCATGTGTTCAAGGTCTGCTTTCCTCATTAGATGAAACTTCCTGTCTATTTACTGCCCTGTTCTCTGCTGTATCCCTAGCACCTAGTACAATGCCTGGCATATGATAGATGTTCAATAAGTAATTGTTGAATGAATGTGTACTTAAATCCTCTATAATTAGTACATAGTAGGCACTCAATAAATATAGCTAAAACATAAATATAGTAGTTATTATTATTATTGTCCAAAAACAAATAGCTAATTAGAGACAGAACAGATTTGTACTCAGGTCTGAGTATAAAGCACATGCCTCTTTTATGATTTAATTCTGCCTGCAGAAATAGGTTCTTGGCCCAGTGCTGCCCTAACTGGCTGTATGGTTTATAGTGAGACACTATACTACTATACTACTATGAATCTCAAAGGAGTAGGGATTGGCAAAGTTCAGATTGCTCTGCATGTAACGTAGAAGAAGAGAGTAGAAGTCTAGATAGAAGGATCTAAGTAAATAAGTAGTTTACCAACACAAATCAGTATCATCACTGCAAGACAGTTGGTGAGCTGTACCAATAACTTTTGGTATGTGCATGCCCTTCAGCTGGGTAACCCTATTTAAAGGTGCTGTGCAGTAGTGGGTAGTATGTAGGCTTTGGTGTTTGAGCCCTTTGGGTTCAAGACTCAAGACCCAAGACCCAGTTTACTAGCTCTGTGTTGCTGGACAAGTCACAACCCTGAACTTAATTCCTGTCTCTACATGCCGGAGGCCAGCTCCAGGGGGTTCACGGGGACCTGAGAAGGAGGCGTGATGAGGTGAGGGAATGAAGAGTCGTGACCAGAGTTTCTTTTCAGGCACTCTGGCACTGAAGCACAGCAATGCTGATTTATTTATATCATAATTTTTGGCACACACTTAGCAGAAAGTTAACAGTAAAGGAAATAATTAACAATCAAAACATATCGAAACGATTGTATGACGTACTAATGATTTTACAATCCTTATGATTTTTGCATAATTATACAATTTAATAATGTCTACATATAAGAAGCTAGCTGTTATTGGAAGTGGTAACTTATTTATTTTTTTATTTTTTTGAGTTGGAGTCTCACTCTGTCGCCCAGACTGGAGTGCAGTGGCCGCTCCCGGCAACCGCAGCCTCGACCTGCTGGGCTCCGGCGATCTTTCCGCCTCAGCCTTCCAAGTAGCCGGAATTACAGGCGCGCACTACCACGCCCGGCTGATTTTTTTTTTATTTATTGTAGAGATGAGGTCTCACCTGCCCAGGCGGGTCTCGAACCCGCGGGCTCAGGCCATCCACTCACCTCAGCCTCCCAAAGGCGCGGGATTACAGGCTGAGCCACCGAGCCTGACTGTGGTAACTTATTAAAAGGGCAAGGTTAATATTAGTCAAAAGGTTAGCAAGTGGAAAGTAAAACTTATGCTTTATAAAGGTAAATAGTCTATATAGATATAGAGATGTTAGGCATATAACCTTTATGTAGTTTTAATGTAAAGGTCGCTGTCTGTGATGAGGCAGTGTCTATATTTTACTTATTTATACCAATCATTTCACTTTTTACTAAGTGCTGACCTTTTTGGGTTTTAGAAAGCAGGCACCAAGGGGGCCCACTGCATTTTATTTTTTCCTATAAAGATAAGTTTTTCTACTTAACAAATCTTTCATCTATCCAGACTTTTCTAACCATATCATCATCATATGCACCTGTATAAGGTAGTGGAGGGTCAAGTCATTCTAAGTTTTGCATACTACTCTTTCCTCTAGGTGCCCAGCAAATTTTTTCGTTCATATTATAGCCTATATGAGGTCCTGCTCTAACAGTTGGCAAGGGTTTGTAATATTGTTTCAAAGCTTTAAACTTGTGGCTACTCTGGTGTTGTTTGTATGGCTTAACTGTGTTTGCTTTAGTTTGTACCTCAGTTTCTGTCATTTCTCGATACCATAGTTTTAACATAAAGTAGAACAGTTAAAAGTACACTTTGTCACAGTAGGTTTTGGAGTAATTGGTTGGGTCATTGTGACCCGTTGGGTTGCTATTTGCATTTCCTGAGGCATGGCCAATGGTGAAGCATTAACTGCTTTATTATTGAACAATATAATGGGAACAAACAGGGGACCATGAGTCACAGGACATTTATGTAGAACTTTCCTCAAGACTTTCCGCGGGGCTTTGCCACGCACACGGATCCTTCTGGGGCTTTGCCTTCCAGAAGGGTGTCTTCATTCGGTTCCTATGCTGAGTCCTGGATTGTCATGGCCTCCGCCATTTGAAACATTAGCTGCTTTATTATTAACATTATAGATGCTGTAATCCATAACTTTAGTCACAGCGTTCTTTCCCAAGGAGAGAGTTAAGCATATTATTCCTGTAAGGCATAAGCATAACAATATAATGGGAACAAACAGGCGACCATGAGTCACAGGACATTCATGTAGAATTTTCCTTAGACTTTCCGTGGGGCTTTGCCACACACACGGATCCCTTCTGGGGCTTTGCCTTCCAGAAGGGTGTCTTCATTCGGTTCCCATGCTGAGTCCTGGATTGTCATGGCCTCTGCCATCTACAGATGGGATGACACCTGCCTTTTTACCCTCTTCTAAAGTAAAAAGCAATATAACATGAAATGAAATAATTATTAATATATAAAGAAAAACTTCTCTCATGAGGCGGGAGGCACAGGCAATGCTGAGGAAGGAGAGAGACTGAAGACAAAAGCAGACTGATATTAGAGACTAGAGGACAGGGTGTGGAGCTGGAGCACCAATGGGATAGACTAAGGTAGGGGGAAGGACAGCTACTGAGGCAAAAGAAAGGAGGTGCCAAATCTGAGTAAGTGGCTAGGCAAGTCCTGATAACTAGAAGTAGGGAGTCTGTAGGAGAATAGCAATGTGCCTTAAAGGGGCCCCCTTCCAAAACTTTGTGACCCTCTCTCATTGACAGGTTTCAAATGGTCTTAAACGTTGCTGAAACTGTATCACTGCCAGTTCCTTTTCTTGTTTAGTCACATACATGTGTACTTTGAAACTGTAGTCTTGGTGTGTACACTTTTCCACTGAGTATCATATCTTCAACATTTTCCCTATCACAAGTCTTTAATGGCTGCCAATATTCTAATTTTGCTCAAAACCCAGAAAGCAAATCTTTGTCTATTAATTTCTTGCTTCCTTGAATGACTTTCTTAGAATAAATTTTCAAATGTGGGATTAATAAACCAATTGGGATTTAACAATCAGATACAGGTTTTAATTTTCTAAGAAATAAATGTCCACAGTAATTCCCTTCCTCTTCCACTTCTAGAACTGATGAGTGGACCCTCTAGAACTGCTGAACAATATGGAAATCAGTAGACACATGTACCTGTCTAAATTTGGAGTTTGATTAATTAAAATTAAATAAAATTCAAAATTCAGTTTCTCAGTTGCACTAGCCACATTTCAAGTGCTCAATAACCTTATGTGCCTAATCCCTACTGTATTGAGAAGCACAGATACAAAACATTTTCATCACTGCAGATAGTTTATTGGACAGTGCTTCTGTAGCGTTTCTCAGGAGGTCACTGTTGGCATCTTGGATGGGAGTTCTTTGTGTACAGGACTTTCCTGTGTATTGAGAGGCTATTTAGCATCTCTGGTCCATGTCTACTAAATGCCAGTAGTCCTCTCTCTTGAATCAATTTAACAGCTAAAACCCTTCTCATGTTTGCAAATTCCCCAGAAGGGAACAAAAATTAACCCCAGTTGAAACCCACTCAGCTTTTATCTTAGAAGAAAATATCTCCTTACTTTTTGAGATAACTTCAGGTTGGCTCTGCTTGTATAGTAGGAAGCTTGGAAAGATGGCTTAGAAAAAAAGTCCTGGCTCAGGACCTAACTCTGTACTCCATTTTCATTTTCCTCCTTTCTTCTGCTGGCCTATTTCCTGCTTTTTTGTGAATTACAGGAACAAGACCCTGCAGATGGAGAAGATAAAGGCCCGTTTGAAGGCTGAGTTTGAGGCACTAGAGTCAGAGGAGAGGCACCTGAAAGAATATAAGCAGGAGATGGACCTCCTGTTACAGGAGAAGATGGCCCACGTGGAGGAACTCCGACTGATCCATGCTGACATCAATGTGGTATGTGGCTGCCTGGAGGCTACCTCTAAGCTCCTTGAAGAAATAAAATAGTGAGTGCTGTGGCCTGTCCTTGAGATGTGGCTGTGGCCAACCTGGGGGAGCAGGTATCAGTGCAAAATTCAGAAGTTCTGAGATCCAGCCCTGTCTCTGTAACTGACTGACAGTGTATCACTGGACAAGTCCCCTCTCTTAGATCTTCATTTTTCTTCTCTGCACTATAAAATGAACTCAGTAACCTCTGAGGGCTCTTTCAGTTCTGAGGTACCCTCATTCTGGGAGACTGGGAGATTTTCCTTGGGAAACAGAGGAGCAGGCAGTTGCTGCTGGGGTGTAGCTTAGAGTGCTCCAAAACTTCTGACCTGTAAAATGGTGGTAGACTAAATGAGCTCTAAAGACATTCCAGCTCTAAGATACTATATTTGAATCATAACTACCATTTATTGACCATTTACTCTGTTAGCTCCTGAGTGCTTTATATGAATTTAATCATTTAACCTTCACCAAGATTGCATGAGGTAGATACTATTACTATCACCGTTATGCAGATGAAACTGTCCAAATGAGGCTTGGCCAGAGTCACATAAAGAGGACATGACAGATTGAGGACTTGAATATAAATTGAACAGGCTCTGTAGCCTGTGCTGTTATTCACTCAGCTATAGAATCTCCCCGAGAACTGTAGGATCTTGTCTCTGTGCCTACCCCACTGTATGTTTCAGATGGAAAACACTATCAAACAGTCTGAGAATGACCTAAACAAGCTGCTAGAGTCGACCCGGCGTCTGCATGATGAATATAAGCCACTGAAGGAGCATGTGGATGCCTTGCGCATGACTCTGGGCCTGCAGAGGCTTCCTGACTTGTGTGAAGAGGAAGAGAAGCTTTCCTTGGAGTAAGCTGCCTACTCCTGTCCTCACAACATCACACACACACACACACACACACAAAAAACATAAGCATGCATGCATACACAAAGCCTGGCCTCAAAGTCATGATACATAGTCCTAGTCCCAGGCCTTTGAGTGGCTTATTGATTGTATGACTTTGTTTTTTGTTTGTTTGTTTTTATTTTTATTTGTAAATATTTTTTATTTCAATAGCTTTGAGGTACAAATAGTTTTGGTCTGGACTTTAAGTGTACTCATCACCCCCACCTGTGCATATTGTGCCCAATAGGTGATTTTTTTTGTCCCTCCACCACCTCCTCCTCCCCCTTTTGAGTCTCCAGGGTCCATTATACCTTCTCCATGTCTTTGCATATTCTTAGTTTAGCTCCCACTTACAAGGAAGAATTTGTGGTGTTTGGTTTTCTGTTCCTGAGTTAGTTCACTTAGGATGCTGTTCTCCAATTCCATCCAAGTTGGTACAAAAGACAATAATTCATTCTTTTTGACAGCTGAATAGTATTCAATAGTGTATATATACTACATTTTCATTATCTGCTGATTGGTTGATGGGCATTTAGGTTGATTCCACATCTTTGCAATTGTAAATTGTGCTACAATGAATATACAGGTGCAGGTATCTTTTTCATATAATGAACTCTGTTTCTTTGGGTAGATACATCTACTAGTGGGATTGCTGGATCAAGTGGTAGATCTACTTTTAGTTGTCTGAGAAATCTCTATAACAATTTCCATAGAGGTTGTACTAATTTACACTCCCACCAACAGTGGATAAGATTTCCCTTTTCTCTGCATCCACACCAGTATCTATTATTTTTTAATTTTTTAATAATGCCCATAATGACTGGTATAAGGTGGTTTCTGCCTGTGGTTTTAATATGAATTTCCCTGTGATGAGCGATGTTGAGCATTTTTTCAAATGTTTGTCAGCTATTTATGTATCTTCTTTTGAGAGATGTCTGTTTATGTCATTTGCCCACTTTTAATGATGTTATTTGCTTTTTCTTGCTGATTTGTTTGAGTTCTTTGTAGATTCGAATTATTAGTCCTTTGTCAGATGTATAGTTTGTGAATATCTTCTCTCATTCTATAGGTTGCCTATGTACTCTTTTGATTATTTCTTTTGCTGTGCAGAAGCTTTGTAGTTTAATTAAGTCTCATTTGTTTATTTTTGTTTTTGTTGCATTTGTCTTTGGGATTTTAGCCATAGGCTGATGTCCAGAAGAGTTTTCCCTAGGTTTTCTTCAAGCATTTTATAGTTTCAGGTCTGAAATTTGAGTCTTCAATTCATCTTAAGTTAATTTTCACATATCGGGAAAGATAGGGATCAAGTTTCATTTTTCTGCACATAGCTATCCAATATTCCCAGTACTTATTGTTGAATAAAGTGTCCTTTCCCCAGTGTATACTTTGTCAAAGAGGATTTCCTTGTAGGTATTTGGGTTTATTTCTGGGTTCTCTATTCTGGTCCATGGGTCTATGTGTCTGCTCTTATATCAGTACCATGCTGTTTTGGTTATCACAGCCCCATAGTATAATTTGAAGTCAGGTAATGTGATGTCTCCGGCTTTGTTCATTTTGCTTATGATTTCTTTGGCTATTCTTGCTCTTTTTGAGCCCATATGAATTTTAGACTTGTTTTTTTCTAATTATGTAAAAAATGATATTTGTAATTTGATAGGAATTGCACTGAATCTGTAGATTACTTTGAATAATATGGTCATTTTAACAATGTTGATTCTTCCAATCCATGAGCATAGAATGTTTCTCCATTTTTTTGTGTGTCCTCTAGAGTTTCATTCATCAGAGTTTTGTCATTCTCCTTGTAGAGATGTTTCACCTTCTTGGTTAAATATATTCCTAGATATTTTAGCTTTTGGTCTGCTACTGTAAATGGAATTGAGTTATTGATTTGATTCTCAGCTTATATACTATTATATAAGCTTATAATATTCTCAGCTTATATTATATGCTATATACTATTGGTATATAGCAGTGCTACTGATTTTTGTGTGTTGATTTTGTATCCTGAAACTTTACCAAATGCATTTATCAAGTCCAGGAGTCTTTTGGAGAAGTCTTTGGGATTCTCTAGGTATAAGATCATGTCATCAACATGCAGAGATCATTTGATTTCTTTTCCAATGTGGATACCCTTTATTTTTACTTCCAGGCCTATGTTGAATAGTAGTGGTGAAAGTGGGCAACCTTGCCTTGTTCCCTTTCTGAGGGGAAATGCATTAAATTTTTCTCCATTCAGGATGATATTGGCTGTAGATTTGTCTTATATGGGTTTTATTTTGAGGAATGTCACCTCTATGCCTATTTTGCTGAGGGTTTTTATCATGAAAGGATGCTGGATTTTATCAAATGCTTTTTCTGCGTCTATTGAAATGATCACATGATTTTTGTTTTTAATTCTGTTTATGTTGTGGATCACATTTATCAACTTGTGTATGTTAAACCACACTTCCATCCCTGGGATAAAACCCACTTTGTCATGGTGTATTACTTATTATGTGCTGTTAGATTTGGTTTGCTATTTTGTTGAAGCTTTTTGCATCTATGTTTGTAAGAGATGTTGGTCTGTAGTTTTCTTTTTTTGTTGTGTCTTTTTCTGGCTTTGGTATCAGAATGATACAGCCTTCATAGAATGAGCCAGGGAGGATTCTCTTTTCTTCAATCTTGTGAGGTAGCTTCAGTAAAATTGGTATCAGTTCTTCTTTGAAGGTCTGGTAGAATTCATGTGTGAGTTCATCAGGACCTGGACATTTTTTTTGTTGGGAGACTTCCAATTACTGTTTCAATCTTGGTACTCATTATTGTTCTCTCTCTCTCTCTCTCTCTCTGTGTGTGTGTGTGTGTGTGTGTGTGTGTGTGTGTGTGTGTGTGTGTTTACTGGTACAATAGAAGAAGGATGATTCTCCAGAATCATTAGGTGGCTTTTAAAATTCTTTGTGTGATTTTAATAATACAAGACTGTGTCTGTGATTCTTCTTTTTTTTTGAATTGGAATCTCACTCTGTCACCCAGGTTGGAGTGCACTGGCCACCTTCACAGCCACCCCAGTGTCGACCTGCTGGGCTCCGGCTATCCATCTGCCTCAGCCTTCCAAGTAGCTGGAACTACAGGCATGCACTAACATGCCCAGTTAATTTTTAATTTATTGTAGAGACGAGATCTTACCAAGTTGCCTGGGCTGGTCTCGAACCTGTGGGCTCAAGCAATCCACTCAACTCGGCCTCCCAAAGTGCTGGGATTACAGGCTGAACCACCGAACCCAGCTTGTCTGTGATTCCTAAGAGTTCACTTCGCAAGTCAAGATCAGAAGAGGTGTCCAGAAACCTTTAAAAAATACACACTTCTGAGCTTTCCTGGTCCTCAGGGGCTAGCCTGGGACTTCATCTCCAGACCTAGAGTTAAGCACTATGCTTGCCTTGCAGAGAGACAGAATTTGGCCCAGTAGAAAGAAGTATTTCCTAAAGGTAGAGCAGGTTGCCTGCAAAAGTGGTGAGCTTCCTTTTCCTAGAAGTATGTTGACAGAGGCCTGAGGACACTTAATAGTAATACTCAAAAGAGCATGGGATGAAGTATAGAACTGAAGAACCTTGCTAGTCCTAAGATTTCTCAATTTTCTGGGTATCTCAGGACCAGAAGGATTACCCTTCCCAGAAGACAGTGGGATTGGTACCCAGGGAGAAGAGCTTTGTGCTGGGGAAGGTACAAGAACTTTCTAGACTAAGCTGTATAGCCCAACTTTTGGTTCTATGGCATAGAGTCTTTAAGAGGGGCAAGGTTCTCCTTGCTTTCAGAATAATCCAGCCAATGTCTCTTATCTCCAAAGTTACTTTGAGAAGCAGAAAGCAGAGTGGCAGACGGAGCCTCAGGAGCCCCCCATCCCTGAATCTCTGGCTGCTGCAGCTGCTGCTGCCCAACAACTCCAAGTGGCTAGGAAGCAGGACACTCGGCAGACGGCCACCTTCAGGCAGCAACCCCCACCTATGAAGGTGAGTGAACTGGGTAGGGGCTGTGGAGGAAGCAAAGTATTCTCCCATGGAAGGTTGGTCCTGAGGCTTTCACCTTATTTACTTTAGTCTTCCTTAAACAGCCTTTACTTGGGATACAGAGGAAGGGGTGATGTTTGTGTATGTGTTTTGTTGGGCCCGCTGGTTTTGTTGCCCCATATTTCCAGAGGGGTTAGAATGTGGGGAGATTTGCAGGTCCTGCTAAAGTATAATTCTCAAAATCAGAAACATGATTCTTACACAATTATTTAGTGAGCATGTATCATAAATGAGGGAGCCAGCAGAATTACAAAACTGATTCCACAAACATTTGAGGAACAGGTTAAATCTGCTCCCTGTTTTTGTTGAAGTTTTATTGGCACATATGCGTGCATGTGTTTGCACACTATTGCAAGCACCATGTGTGCATGCTATTTTCTATAGCTTCTTCCATGTAAAATGAAATTGAGTCGTTGCAACAAAGACCATATGATCTAAAACATCTAGTTTTGTTTTTTTTTTACTTGAGTTGCAATTTCACTCTATTACCCAGGCTGTAATGCAGTGGCACGATCACAACTAACTGCAACCACAACCTACTAGACTCAGGTGATCCTTCTACTTCAGTCTTCTGAGTTGCTGGGAGTACAGGTGTGCACCACCATGCCTGGCTACATTTATATATATATAATATATAAAAATATATATATATATAATATATAAAAATATATATATATACATATATATATATATTTTTTTTTTTTAGAGACAAGGTCGTGCTATGTTGCCCAGACTTAAAAAGTCTTAAATATTTACTATCTTGGCCTTTACAGAAAAAGTTTGCTAACCTTTTTCTAGAAAAATTAAATAGTTCTTGGGTGAGACCAGTAGACAATTGTTCCAGTACAATGATGTAGTTCTTGTTTTGCCTTATTTTCAAGTTTTAGACACTTATTCTCAATACTCTTCTCTGACCTGGTTTATATACTTTACTCTCATCTTCTATGGCCTCTAAGAGTACTGATCTTTCTACTTAAGTCTTATTTGTTGATTACTGCTTTCTCTTGATAGGAAATTACAGTTGTTTTCTGAGTCCTGAAGGATCAGACGTCTAAACTGTGGCCTAGAAGGATCTGACCACTAACTTTATTTGTCCTGTGTCCCCCACCAGGCCTGCTTGTCATGTCACCAGCAAATTCACCGAAATGCACCTATATGCCCTCTATGTAAAGCCAAGAGCCGGTCCCGGAACCCCAAAAAGCCAAAACGGAAGCAAGATGAATGAAGAGAGGGAGAGCACATGGAATTCTGCTGATCATAACCCGACCCCTTGGCCAGAGTGATTGGTGTCCTGATGTAAAACAACCCTTCCCCACTTTCACCATGTCTCCTATTTAATGTGATAGAAGCACAACCCCTTTCTCACTTTGCTCTTATTTCTTTCTGCTCTTGGGATTTCTGGTTTAGGAAACGATGTGGTTCAAGTGCTAATGACAGTATATCTGATGATCTCTTCTCTCCCACTCACATTTCAACCCCTGCCCTTATTTGGAGGTAAGTGAAGAGCAAGAGTCCCAGATGTGATTCTCTGTCATTTGTGCCTGTTGCCTGGAGCCTAAGAACTGTAGGGTCTGAGGGCTAAGAGAGGCCCATATCCTGTTTCAGGTAAAGGATTCAGTGTTTTCCCTCCCAGTACTTTTGCCTTAGGCTTGAAGGGACAGCAGTTTTCTTGCTGGACTTCCCAACAGACTGGGTACATGTATCTCCCCCATTCTTACCCTTATCTCACCCTTAAGCCCCAGAAATAGCTTGGACAAGTTCTCTCTTTCATAATCACTTGGGAGGTTTGACTGTTATTCTTTAACTACCCCTACCTCAGTCTCTCAGATACACGAAAATTTTTAGGTAGCAGGCTATATGCCTGGGGATCCTGAGATCAGTGAGCCTTTTCCTCATACCCCTAATCTTTGTATATCAGTAGTAGAGGTTTTTTTCAGTGAAATGAGGGAGCAGACCCATTCTATTAAGTCTTGCCTAACCCACTGCCTAAGTAACAGGCTGAGGGCTCTGCTGTAGCGGCTACTTTAGGCTGAGAGGGCTTACAGGCTGACATCTGTGTTAGCTTTTGTTCTAAACTATTACTCTGGCAGCTGCTCAGTGGAATATTGCAGGGAGAAAAGAAATGGATTTAGACTGAAGTGAATGCCAATCACTTTACAGATGCAGGTGGGTGGGACATTCCTTCCATTCATCTCTCCCTCTCTTGGGTCTGCCCTCTTCTGTAAGGCAGTCTCAGCTCAGGACAGCTACTGGCCACCCTTGTCCTGTGGGTTATACAGGTGGCTTTCCCTCTCCAAAGAAAAGGTGTCAGACTCCCCAAGCCCCACAGCTCTCTTCTCCACCAAAGCCAGGTCTCCTACTCAAGTCACTCTTGGAGTTAAGAGATAGGGATGGGAGCTGGAAAAGTTTTAGCCCTAGGTCCGAGTCCCAGACTGGGAAGGAGGGATATTTTTCCTTCCTTCCTTAACTGTAGTTTTACATTGCCACAGTGTTTATGTATTCATAATATAAATTTCCTCTTCCCTTTGAAAATATGTGTTATAAGTCTGTGCAAATCCTTTTAAATAAACATTTGTTCATTGGAGTAAATTCTGACTAAGTGCTTACTGTGTACTGGATAATACAAAATATGTAATGCCATTTACCCTTCTGGGTATCTCTTTTTCACTCTTATTCACTCCAACTTACAAATGAGAAAGCACAATAAATTATGTAATTATCATAATAACTTCCATTTATTCACCACCCGTTCTGTGCCAGGTCCCTAGGCAAGTTACTTTATATAAATGATTGTATATGACTTCCAAAGCAACATTACAAACCAAGTATGCTTATGGCCATTTTCCAAAACAAGAAACTGAATGTCAGCAAAGTTAAATAACTTATCTAGAGTTAAACAGGTAGTGAGAGGAAGTTTTAGGATTTGAACCCAAATTTGTCCGATTCCAGAGCCCATTTAGAATTGGTTGATGATAGAAGTGGTTGAAATAACTCTGGGCCCGAAATCAGGAGCTAGATGTCCAGTGACTGATTGATGCAGGGATATAAAAGCCTGGTTGCCTATGGAGATACAATAGGGAGCATATTTGAAGGGGCATCCTAGCGTCAGAGCTTCCCACAGGATAAGCTGAGGTTTCCATTAAATGTATGTCACAGGTTAACATCTCCCTCTGTCCACTTCTGCCTCTTTTCCTTCCTTCCCCTCTCTTTCCCTCCCCTCTCCTCGCCTCCCCTCCACTCCCTTTCAAAGTATTAATCCCTAGGGCTTCGTAAGTAATATCCGGTACACTCATCTGTTCCAGTGCCTCTCAGAGAGCTCAACAGCTGAAAAAAAAAAAAGAAAAAGAAAAGAAAAGTTATCTGTGCTTCAGTGTCCTCATCTGGAAAGTGGGGAAAATAAAAGTACCAATTTCATGGGGTTGTGAGCAATGCCAAATACTTAGCAAGCTCTCCATAAGTGCTGATTTCCTTTTCTCCCCTGTGCCTCTGGGATCAGGTAGATTGCATGACCAATCAAAAGAAATACTGTTTATCTTGCCTGATATTACGCCATCACCCCAGGTTATGTACAGCTATTTTTAAGACTGCTTTTGAAGTGGCCTAAGCTCACTCTGGATAATCAACTATGTAACTTGGAGTATACCTTAACAGTATAGGCCTCAGTAGATCCCTATAAGGTATAGGAGGCAAGGTCAAAGTTCTGCATCCTTGGCACAGTAAAGATCAGGTCTTTCAGTTCTGTTGTAGTGAAAGTAACAGGTTGATTTCTGAGCACCATTATCCAGGCAAGCCAATTCTTAGGAATACTTTTCAATGAGAATGAAATAATCATTTAATGAGCACCTATACCTGCCAGCCACTTGGTAAGGCACTACTATGCCATTTAGTCTTTCTGGTTCATATATCTATTGCTGTGAGACAAACCACCCCAAAACTTGGTAACTTAAAGCAATGACCATTTATTTGTTCATGATTTTGCAATTTGGGCAGAACTTACTAGGAATGGCTAATTTCTGTTCCATGTGGCATTGCCTCAGACAGCCCAGTCAAAGCTAGAGGATGAAATATGGCTGCACTCTCATCTAGCTCCTCAGTTGGGATAGCTGGAACAACTATGGGCTGGATGCCCCATCCGCCTCTTTGTAGTCTTTTATTCTCCAGGGTCTCTTTATCTCCATTTGGTCTCTCTCTTCAGTAGAGTAATCAGACATTTTTTTGACCTGGTAGCTGGCATCCCAAAAGGTGAAAACCAAAGCAGCAAGGCCTTTTGTGTCATAAGACCAGAAGTCATACAGCAACACTGCTGCTGATCTCAAAGAAAGTCACAGGGCCAGATTCGATTTAAGAGGTCGGAAAATAGACTCTATCTCTTGATGGAGGAGCTGCATGCATGTCAGAAAAATTATTGCCAGTTATATCTACAGACAATCTACCATATTTTCTGATAACATTTCAAGGAAGGTGTTATATGTGTCTATTTTTACAGATGATAAAATGAAGGCTCAGAAAGGGTAAAGTAATTGCCCAACAAACAACTAGTGGCAACTGTCTGGCTGTGAAGTCTGTACTCCTTTTGCTTAAGTGCCATGCTGCAGGTGAACCCAAGACCTGTTTAAGGAAGAATAAAGAAGGGAAGAGATGGAGCAAAAATAGAGTGAAAGAAGACAAGGGAAGTAGAGAAGACAAGGGAAGTAGGGAAAGTCAGAACAGTAACAAAAGTAAGAAAAGTTATCCTTTATATTGGTAATATGCTTTATACTTAAAGCACCTTCTTCAACATTCCCATTTCATGTTCACATTAATAACTCTGTACTGTTAATAGAGCATGTATTACTATCATCCACATTTTAAAAATGAAGTCCAGAGAAGATCACATAATAAGTTAACAGCAAAGCCACAACTAGAACTTAGACCTTTCAATCTGAAAATCACCCCATGTGGAAGAGCTCTCTACATGCCGATACAGCAGGGATGAATCGTATGCATGCTTTATGCCAGAGGTTGCTGTTCTTAAACTGAAGGTAGGAGCTCACTCCACAGTGAAATACCAGGTGATTTTAGCAGTTCTGCTCTTAAAATTCAGTTCCCTGTTACTCAGCTTTCCCACAGCAACTATCAGCATCTTTATGATTATCAACAATTCCCAAGGTGAACTTTGGGAAGGCTGTTAACTCAGGGACACTGACACTTGGATTAGTTGCTTAAACTCTCTGGGCCTAAATTTTCTCACATATGAAGCAGGAAGAGTAATAGTTTTTTTCTGCATAACATTGTGAAGATTAGGTGAGCTAATACATATTAAGTGCCTATGATAGCACCTGAAAAGCATTCAATTAATGGTAGCTATGAGGAAATGTATAATGATGATGTTTAGCTTCCTGAGAAGCCAAAGATGATGATGATGAAGACTTACTCAGAATTACAACTTAGAAGGTTCAATAGGTGAGGAGCTGTCCCTATGTAAGGCCTTCCATAAAGGGAAAGCTGACAGCTTGGAGTCATGGTGTCTTTTCTGAGGATTGATGAGACTATGAGGCTCGGCTGCCACCAGCCATTGAGTTTGTTTAATGGTTGTAAAAGATACCCTTTTTAGGAACTATGTAGAAATCCCTCTTTCCACTACATCCCCTTCTGCTTGTGGCTGGGGAAGGAAGACCATCCTTAAACAAGCACTTCCCATCAGTGATCTAGACCCACATGGACTTCAGTGGTTTTCTTACTGCACAGTATAGGAAAGTGACACTAATCCAGGAACCAATTATTTCTGGGTTCAAATCCCAGATTCTCTATTTACTAGCAGTGCATTCTTGAGCAAGTTTTAAACTTTTATGATCTCCAGTTTCCTCATCTGTAAAATGGAGATAATACTTGCTGTTTGGAGTTGCAGTGAAATTTAAAAAACAAAACAAAACAGAACATAATCATTCACTAGATACACATATGTGGTGGATGCTGTGCCAAGTACTTTCATATATTGTATTAAATATGTGGAGCAGCATAGTATAATGACCAAGAACACGAACACTAAAACCAGATCGTCTGGATTCAAATCCCAGCAATGCCATTTGCTAACCATGTGACTTTTGGTAAACTCATTAACTTCCTGAAACTTTGGTGCCCCCATCTTAAAATGGAGATAATAATAAAATTTATCTTATTGGAGATTGTTTTAAAGGTTAAATGAGTTAACATTTATAAAGTGAACATAGAAAGCATTATTTGAGTGTTTGATAAACAACTAAACAAATGAAATCTTCCTGGCAACACTCAGTGTCATCAACTTAGAGGTAAGAAAATCGAGCTTGGGTCTGATTCTCCAAAGTGCCTGGCAGAGTACCCGCTACCAAGTAGATCCTCAATAGCATTTCATCCTTTTTCTGTAGACTTGGAGATTAAAGGCTTGGATGTGAATCTTGTCTTGCTCAGAGTCAATGAGAAGAGGAGGGAAACCAAGGCAGAGAAAGACAAAACTACATTTCAATAAGAAGCCACTGAGGGTTACCCCTCTCTGCCCAAGCTTCAAGCTAGCCTTTGCCCTCTTGGTAAAAGAGTGAGTCCTCTGTTTGCCTTTATTCTCCACTAGGAGCTGAGCTCCCAGAGAACAAAGCCTGTACTTCCAACTGCCTAGACAGTTTTCCTTCACCAGGAGGTACTTGACTCCTGAATCTGAGAACACAACCTTCCAGAAGCACATCCCAGACAAGTTTCCTCCTTCCTCTGTCTCTCAGCTTAGGTCTCTAATTGAGGCTAGAGATAGGAAGGTAAGAACTGGCAAAGGTCTTCTGACCATCCTGCTCCAAGTGAATGTCATTTGAGATAAATAAGTGATAAAATAAGTCCAGAAAAATGCTAATTATAAGATCTAAATTGGGACATACAGGTGCTACCTGTAACATTTTGTGGGTTTCATTTCAATTTCATAGTTGTTTTTTTGTAATTCTATGAAAAATATTGGGAAAATAAAATATCTATCTGGTAGCATTACTTTGTTGCCCCAAAGCCTTGGTTTGCTCCCCAGCATTCAAGACACTTTATAATCAGTACAGCTCTCACTGATCCCAGTGAAATTTGTAGAGCACTAGGGAGAACAAGTGAGTCATGGAGACAGGAAGAGAATGTAATAATACTATACTCCCACCTAGGATGACCAACTTGTCCCAGATTTTTTTGTACAGTCCTGGTTTTAAAATTAAAAGTCCTACATCTTGGGAAGCCCCTCAGTTCTAGGCAAACTGGTATGGTTGGTCACCCAACTGCACCAGTGAGCCTAGCTATTTTGTGAGCCTATTTTTTTTTTCTGTTAGAGCAGTGGACACCTATTGTTTCTAGTCCATATCATAGCATGCTCAGTTTTGGGTCTGACCCTGGCTCATTCATTGTGCAATCTTTTTTTTTTTGAGTTGGAGTCTCACTCTGTCACCCAGACTGGATTGCAGTGGCTGCTCCCGACCACCGCAGCCTCGACCTGCTGGGCTCCGGTGATCCTTCCGCCTCAGCCTCCAAGGA